ATTCCTACATCATCAATTTAACACGTGGTTTTCTCCAGCCTCCTCCAATACAGGCAATAAGGTGGCTGAGTTCAATTGTACACCTTTTTCATTGTTAGATTTGTACAAAAATAGCAATACAAAGTCAAAATTTGTGAACCTTGCATTAGACAGAATGTGGGACCATTAAAGTTAAATAATGTCTATAACTTTGTCTAGTAGCACTTTGTATGTGCAGCTACTGCATAGTTGCTAACATTTAAAAAAAAATTTTTGGGGCACTTTTTTTTATTGTATGTCCAGAAAGCCAGCATAGGTGGGGCGATATGTAAATTATTTTCTTTTGCTTCCCATACAATTTTGCTCTCCACCTCAGCAGTCCAAAAGAAACACACATAGACTTATCTAAAAAAAAAACTTTAATAATATAAACAGAACTGGTCCACACTCAGTGATTGGTTGCTAGAGGTTACAACACATTACCTCTCACTGATTGGTTGCTAGAGGTTACTGCCGTTAGTACAGGGGAGGGTCAGAGACTACAGTAATACTGGAGATGGTCACACTGCAGACATGGCACAAGGGCTGGTCAGAGTACAGTATGCTCCACCATAAATATCACAGCATGCTCCACCATAAATATTACAGTATGTGCCACAATAAATATCATAGTATGCGCCACCATAAATATTACGGCATGCTCCACCATAAATATCACAGCATGCTTCACCATAAATATTACAGTATGTGCCACCATAAATATCACAGCAGGCCTCACTATACCGCACCCCCCCCCCCCCCACACACACACACACACACACACAAAAACTCTGCCCCCCCACCCACACTTTGCACCCCCCACCCCCACACACACACACACACGACTTTCTCTCTCTCCTTCTCTCTCTCCTCTCTCTCACAACTCACCTCTGCTACACTATAGAGCGGCATCTGACAGTGCCCATCATTGGTGATCCTGGGCTTGGTCCTGAGTCCACTCTGCAGCAGCTTGCACATGAGGAGGAGCCTTGCACGTGAGGAGGAGGAGCCTTGCACGTGAGGAGGAGGATAAGGCGGGCTGGCGCGATCACCCCTGGGCTGGCCACACACCCTCACAGTAACAACCAATCAGCATAAGAAAAACAAGCACATGACTTCCTGTCTCTCTCTGAATGGCAGTCCCAGGCAGGGGGAGGACAGAGAAAGAGGGAAGAGGATCATAGGGAGTGGGGGAAGAATATAGTTAACACACTGCAGTACTAGATGCTTTGACTGTTTTGACTAGCGGTCCGTAACAAAATAAAACCTGTCCGGGACAAAAATAATTTTCCATGATTATTTGGACAATGACTGTTCGTGACAAATGTCAAAAATCCGTGAGTGTCCCGGGAAATCCGTGACTGTTGGCAACTATCCTACTGCTCTGATGCAGCTGGGTGAACCCTTGATTAGTGGTCCTAACTTGCATGAAGTATACAGTATCTCAATGGCTTGTTTTTTTTCTATCATGCTCTTTCTGTAAGAACTCCAGTTTAATGTTCTGGCAATATTATTTCTCTTTGTTAGCTTTACTGTTAGTTTTAGCTAGATAACACAAGTCCTAACTTTCCGTCTTCCATAGTTTCCCAAAGTCATAATATAATATATTATAACAATACCATGCAGTTATGCATCCCATGTACTAGAATTCTGTACTTAGAGAATAAGTTCACCTTTTGATAAAAAAAAAATAAACGCACATTTTTTTGCAGGTAAAAAAATGTGCATTTATTATTTCTTGCTGCAGGAGCCTGTAAAATATTGCACCAGTGATCAGCAGATCGCTGGTGCCAAGCAGGTCTCCTGAAGTTCTGTCAGTATATCTGCTTGCCCATATGGGATATATGAGCAAGCAGATGTACTGACAGGAAGAATCAATGAACTACCACGACACTCCACAGTGCCGTGGTAATTCATCTTGAACTACAAGCCGACAGCTGCTAAGGCTGTCGGGACTGGCTGTTTCTCATTCACAGAGGAGTGATGCGGCCAGGTGGGCAGAGCCCTGCATGGCCACTTCTTTTTAATTTTACGGGGGGGGGGGGGGAGAGTATCCCCCGCTAGCTGTATACCCTGAATATGAGTGTTACATGTAACATGTTATGAGAGAAAGGTGAACTTATCCTTTAACTTACTCTAGCTTCTATGATCAGATGGCCAGCCATAGTGTTCATCCCATTGTTCTTCTCTGACCACATATAAAGTATTCTGTTTGAACCAGGGCAAAAAATTCTGCTGTTCCTATACAATTTGACTTTCATTTCTCTGTTTTGGCTTTTTTTCACGTTTTATAATTTACTAGTTCTAGTCTCTGATTCATCCAGCAGATTAACATCCAAACTTCCCTTTATTGTTTTTCACCCTTGGTCCATCCTGATCAAATAGTTGTTTCTCTAGCTGTTTAACCTACATGATACTTAGTCCCTGTGGACTCAGTAACCCTGTTACCTATTTTGAATCCCTGTCCATTTTTAAACATTTATCTAGGGGCTCAGTATAAGTGGAACCGTACCTCCAGTTTATATATCCTCTAGCGTTCCTCTTGCTCTGGGCATTTTTGAGGGTTTCTTACCCTTCATTTGCTTACTTAACTCTGTTGATAATGACTGGCCGGTCTTCTCTATATGTACCTATACCCTCTTGCCTCTAAGCTATTATTACAGTAGATGTGTATACTTGTAACCTGTTAACAGCACTATTCTTCCTTTTCTTATCTATAACACTCCGGTGGACAGTACACAACATAACATATAATATAAACACCAATCAACATAGTTCGATTAAGGAGAGTAAAATAGATACCCTTTGCCCCAAAAATGCCTTACCATCCAAGGAAGCCTGATAACTCAAATGTAAGCAAAAAGCATACCTCAGCCAGCTGATTATCAGAAATTCCCAGATCATCTCAAGTTCCCCATTTTGTACTCTCATGGTCACCTGGAAATGCCCTTCTGGGCAAAAGCTTGCCAACTGTTCTGGAAATTTTATAGATAGGCAACTCCTATCCTCATTTTGATTAGTAGTTCCAAATTAACAAGTACTGCAGTAGGGAACAGACACAAAAATATACACACATAATCTTTCCAAATAACTGTTCTGTTTATTCAGTGCAATTTAATATTTTTTAAACAGATGATTACATAGGTATCAAATTACTATCACAAATGTACTTTTATGCTAAAGAGCTTTAAACAGGCAGGCTAAATTCTAATCAGGACTCAAAAGAATGCAAACATGTAATCAAAACATTATTGGTGCTGTGTGCACGATGAGTGCCATGTACAGTACTGTCACGCTTACCCCTAATGCACGTGGTCAGGCACTATATCTGGCTTCTGTGTTCTTCACCCATAGCAGCCCCTTTTCCAATAAGGCAAACAGGTCTACTGGTACTTGGTTGCCCCCAGGATTTATACACAATGCTATAGTGCCTGGCTATCACGCTGAGGCAGGCGCAAACTGAACACAGCAAACACTGTGGTTGGCACACAGGCAGAGTGGTTCAATGACAGTCCAGGTACAAGGCAGGCAAGGTTCAAAGTAGTCAGGGTCCAATCTGCAGTCAAAGGGTGGGCAGAGTTCTGAGAATAGTCGATATCTAATCTAAGGTCATAAACAAGGGATTCTAAACAGCAGATCAGGACAAACAGACAGGGAGCTTGAGCATGTATTACACACTTATCACAAACATTAGACTGCAGATTTGGCTGGCTTAAATCAGGTTTGGTTTCCACTCAGAGACTGGCCACATCAGTCACCTTGTACGTGGACAGACAGCCATGGAGAATGTATCACAACCAAAACCAGGATGCTGGAATGAGACTAGCAGCAGTGATGGAGCAGGAGCATTACATACTCCTGACAAATACGTAGGCATAGCTAACAAAATAAAAAAAAAAGTAAGACTAAATGATAATCAGCGCAAAACACTAAAGCCAAGTCCATAAAGTACAATTATTAGTGGTATTAATGTAATCTAAATAAATTAGATAAGGAAGGTCCGTAGGTCACAAAGCGCAAGCTTCATGTAGTACTGTAGCAGAACTAGAAGGAAAAAAGAAGCGCTAGTGGCATTCAGACTCCCTGAACGCCGCTAGCAGTCAATGTATATAATGACGGCCTTCAAGCCTTTGCCATTCCCAGCTTGACAAAGGAGCACGCTTACGCCTATATAGGCCAGTGCATGCTCCGAAACGTGTCTCAATGAATTCTGGTCCCTGGTCATTCTGGTCATCACGCCAACATCACCTCAGCATGCATTCCAGACGCCATCTTGAGGAGTACGTGTGTGTCGGCTGGCTTCCACATCTGTCTCCCTACTGTTACCACGCTTGTTTTAGCGCAGATGCGGATGTCAGGCACCTGTCACAGCCATTCCTTACTGGATATCACACACATGCCTGTTTTACTCCTTGAATATGTGAGTGTTCTTACATTTGTGCTATATTAAAGTGGTTCTGCTGCACTTCAAAGCATACAAAACAGATTACAGTTATATACATAATGTACAATTTGTTTTATAGGTTCTACTATATAAAGCTTTTTAATCTGAAACATAAATCTTTCTGCACTTATTACAATACAAATGTCTTTATTATTTATTCTCTTAGCTTCTACATGAGCCCTGGTGCAGTTCTGCATAGAAACTAATCAGCTTCGAGATTTTATTTAGCAAAGCTTAATTGAACAAGCTGAAGTTTGAAGCTAATTGGCTACCATGCACAGCTGAATCAGGTTTTGCACTCTCCAGTTTTAGAAAATCAACCCCAATATATTTGCATGCATGAACAGGTATGTGTAAGGGCCCCTGTGTGTTTCTGTTCCCTTTAACCAGTTCTAGATTTTCTATCACTAAAATAACATTTATAAAATTCAAGTATCATAACGGTTTGGGTTTTTTTTTTTTATCTATAGCTTTGGTTTTAATCCATATTTGTGATTAATTTCTTCTATTATTTGTACACCTCTTTAATATCTTTTAGCTGACGAATGGGTTGAGACCAACAAGGAGCTGGTAGAAAGATGTGGATACACAGCAAAGGGTCTACCAACAGGAGAAAAACTTTTCTTCCGTGTGCGTGCTGTGAATATTGCCGGCAAAAGTGAGCCAGCCGTTCTGGCGCAGCCAGTTACAATTCGGGAGATAGTGCGTAAGTTGCTTTTATTTCCATAAACCTAACAGTGAGCATAACCATTCAAATTCAAGAGACAGAACACCCTTATTTGATCATTCAAAAATCATCAAATAATTTATTATAGCTCCTTGTGATTGTAAAGACAAGATTTCTGGAAAAGAGTTCCTGGCTCTGCACATTCTTGCCCCGTTTTGCTGCTTAACGTTGCTGGTAAATGAGGAGTATCATTCTTACACTTCCTAATGTAAAATGATTTGAAAATTCATGTGGTGGTTTAAGACCCCCTCTTATGGCCTTAGCATGGAAAAAGAAGTAGAAGCTCTGAAGCAGAAATTTTGGTGCCTTCTAAACAAAGGGTCAGTTTATTGTACTTTAGACTTTCAGGGGGATGAAATGTGACCAGCGGGAGTAGAAAATGCTCCAATAGTTAGTAAACAATGCCTAAGGTTTGGTGGTCAACAGGAGGAATTCCCCATTTTTGTTGACAGTGGAAGCAATTGTGCCTCATTGTTGGTTTAAATGGGAAGAATCAATGGGAGGAATAGTGCTTTGTATCAGATGGAAGAATATTATCCCAAGGGCTAGACCGGGTGTCGGCAACCCGCGGCTCCAGAGCCGCATGCGGCTCTTTTTCACCTTGGCTGCGGCTCCGGAGCACACTGCCCACCAGTTGACAGGCAATAGGGTCTTCTGTGTGCCGGGCGCCCGCTCCCCTCCCTCCTCTCGGGCGGCCGCCCCAAAAGTCAGGACTCTGCAGCTAGCCCAGCAATGGGCAAACTACGGCCCGGCGGACCTTTTAATCCGGCCCGCGGAGCTTGGCAAACATTGGCTGTCAGGATGTAGGCGGGGCAGCCAGGATGTAGGCGGGGCAGCGTGACAAACTCCTCTCCTCTCACAGTCCGCCCTGAAGACCAGAACGGCGCGGGAACACGGCGAGAGGAAACGCGGAGCAAAGGTAAGTGAATTGACACAATATGGGGAATGAATTACTATAGGGGGGATGAATTACTATATGGGGGATGAATTATTACTATGGGGGATGAATTACTATATGGGGGATGAATTACTATGGGGGATGAATTACTATATGGGGGATGAATTACTATGGGGGATGAATTACTATATGGGGGATGAATTACTATGGGGGATGAATTACTATATGGGGGATTAATTACTATGAGGGATGAATTACTATGTGGGGGATGAATTACTATGGGGGATGAATTACTATATGGGGGATGAATTACTATGTGGGGGATGAATTACTATGGGGGATGAATTACTATATGGGGGATGAATTACTATGGGGGATGAATTACTATATGGGGGATGAATTACTATGGGGGATGAATTACTATATGGGGGATGAATTACTATGGGGGATGAATTAGTATATGGGGGATGAATTACTATGGGGGATGAATTACTATGGGGATGAATTACTATATGGGGGATTTCAGTTTTAAAAATGTGGCTCTCAAAATAAATTTCAATCGTGGTTTTGGCGAGATTTGGCTCAGTTGAAAAAAAAGGTTGCCCACCACTGACCTAAGGCTATGATTGTGATTATGACGATACACTGTGGCCCTGATTAACCCTTTGCTTACTGGGCCCTTAAACCCCCTTCATGACCAGAGCGCTTTTTGCAATATATGCAGTGTCAGATTTGTTTTAAATGTTGCAATGGTTTTGCGGCTCCCAGTCTTTTTTTCCCTCTCGGAAACGGGTCCAAGTGGCTCTTTATGTCTTAAAGGTTGCAGACCCCTGGGCTAGACTGTCACGGCCTGGGTCAGGTTCAGAGACCAGTTGCTATAGCAGTGTAAGACTTACCTGAAACCAGCAGGATAGGTACACCAGCAGGTCACCCTGGGAAATGACACAGCCTCACCTGAGATGTGGGGTCTAAGCACTAACCGGTCTTCACCAGAGCTCCTGATGGTGGAGATAGATTCAGCAGCGTGCTAATACCAGGTCGCAGTTCTCAGGATCACCCCACCAGGGAATGAGCAAGCCGGAATCCAATAGCAGATAGAGCAGGTAGGGATCTAGCAGTCAACAAGCCAAGGGTCGGTAACAAGCGGCAGTAGATGGGGATGAGGCAGAATCGTAGTCATAGAAACAAGCCAAAGGTTGGTAGCGAAGGTATAGACGGCAGCAGGAGAGACAAGCGAGATACTGGCTGGAGAAGGCACAATAATCTGGTGAAGAGGAAATGCAGAGACATGGCTTTTATCAGGAAGTTCATGGGAGGAGCAAGGGGTTCAAGGTTCAATGTTCAAGACAAACAAGGTCAAGGCAGGATCATCCAAATAATTGTCAAGGGAGCTGTCCAGCATTCAAGGTGGCTCAGCAAGAAGAAACATTGCCCCTCACTGCAGAAGGCCCAGGTTTGGACCCAGGCTCTGACATAGATAAAGGCAACCAAAGGGCCACATCCAGCCCATAGGCCACAGTTTGAAACCACTGGATTATACTGTCCTCTACTAGAGAAATGGATACTGTCAACCAGCACAGGATTACCCAGCCCCATACCAACATGCTTCAGTTTTGTAGCAAAGGTGTACTGAGAGCATGAACATCAATACTGAGGGGGAGAGTTACTAAAATTGGAGCACTTAGAATCAGGAGAAGTTGTTCATGGCAGCCAATCAGCTTCGAACTTGGTTGTATTGTCAAAGCTTAATTGAACAAGCTGGAGTTTTCTGATTTCTATGCAGAGCTACACCAGATTTTGCACGCTCCAGTTTTAGTAAATTCCCCCTGGAGGGTTGGAGCCTGTGTCCCTCAATGTACACCAAGAATAGGATTTTATGGCGAATACAAAAAAACTAGTTATCTCATCCATTGTGGGATGCAGAAATGTTTATGTTGGGATGCAAAAAAAGCAGTCCAACAAATGGGTGGGTACTAAAAAAATAAATGTTCACAGGCCATAGATGCAACAGAAAACTGTAGACGACTGCCTGCAGCTCAAAGAGTCTGAAGGACCTATGCCTAATGGGTTAGAGTAGAAAACATTGTCCCTGATGGGATTAAATGGTGGTCTTCAAACCACAGAGAAAACCAGATTCAGATCCCACAGAATCACGGGGGAACAGATAAGGGAAGCTACATGGGACAACCCCTGTACAAGATCTTATTTAAGGAGAGAAAGGCCAAGGGACTCTGAAAACAAGAGAAAAAGGGCAGAAACCTGACCTTTGAGAGTGCAGAGAGCCATACAGTGGCCCAGACCCAACTCTAGAAAGAAGGGTTTTTGCTCCATGAAGAAACTGTGAAGATGAAAGGCTAAGACTCACACCAACTGAAATTGCCTTCTATGCCTGATAATATACCTTGCAGGTAGTAGACCTCCTAGCTTTTAGCATAATAGGAATCACAGAATTAGATATGCCTCTCTATATCAGAACCTCGGCTTAAACAGGTATTTTGTTAAAGCCAGTTATCATGAAGCAGGATTGTAACTTGGTCCTTGGGACAAAAGATCCTGACAACCTGTCATAGCCCACAGAGCATCTGCCAGGAGTTTGACAAGGTTAGCATACACACATTCACATTCTAAAGCAATGAGGATCACCAGACTGCTCTCCACCACAATCACATGAAGCAGACAAACAAGGACATTCAGGTGAGAAAAAAACAAGATCAGGGTGTACTGATCCCACAAAGTTACCATAGCATTTACTGCTTCCACCAGAGGATCCCTGTACTTGATGACAAACCTTTCCAGTTTTTTGTTGGGCATGAAGGTCCATGTCAGGCGTTTCCCACCCATGACACAGAACCTGGAATACCTTCAGAAGTACAGACCACTCTGTGGGTCCAGTCGTAGCCAGCTAAGGAAGTCTGCCTGCCGAGGACGTACATGGAGGACACAGCATTTAAAGTTCTGCCATGGACAGGATGCAATCTACGCACTCTCTTGCCACAGTGAGGGTTATGGTTTCTCCCTGATGGTCGATGTACACCAACACCAATTGTTAATGTACACCACCATCATTGCATTGTCTGACAGAATTCAAATTGGCTGACCTTACCAGAGACTGCCTATTTCCCCAAAGCTCCAGGATGTTGAATGGGAAATGAGACTCCCTCAAAGATCAAATACCCTGCGCCAACAGGATGCCTAGGGCTCCTCCCTAGTCATCTTTTATTTAAGATCCTCCAAAGACAGAAAGGAAGGGCTTCCCCGATTCCAGAGCCAGATTCCTGAGCCAACAAGCCAGAGACAACCTGGTCTTTAGTACCAAATTAATCAAGCAGTTAGGGACCTAACTGACTTGTCCCATGATGACATACTATTGTATTGTATAGGTCTGGAGTGAAACTGTACAAACAAAACCGAATCAAAGGATGTTATTATCAGACTCAGGACTCTCATGCAAAACTGGAGGGTCAGGTAAATCATAGACTGGAGGGCAGACCAGAGAATCTGAAGATTCTGTTGAGGAAGTAATACACTGACCTGGGCTATAGCCAAGACTACGTCCAGATACTCCAAGCAATAAATCGGTTTCAGTGAAGATTTCTAAAAATTCGGTATTCACCTGAACTGCTGTAAATTCTGGAAGTCAAAGCCACAATGTCAAACAGAGCCCACAATGCCTGTGCACTTAACAGGAGGTTATAAATATAATATAGAACAGTAGTAATCTTTCCCATTATTCCGCCAATCTTTGTACTTTATCATGTTTCTAAACTTGTTATAATACCACATCTGACTAATATTGTCTATTATCATTTTTTCTACAGATATATAATAATGTTCTGTACAGATACATACTGTATGTACATTTTGTATGCTTTTTTTGCATATATTTTTATTTCTGAAGTAGCATGAACTATTCGATAATTATAATTTATAAAACACATTACAAATTCATGTTTTCAGTAGAGTTTGCCTGAAGCTCCCTCTCTTATTAAGCCTGATACACATTAAGTATTTTACGTTCAACCTAGCAGGCTGAAAAAAAAAAAAGACTGCGGCAGTCACTGTACTAACTATGCGATGTTATTACACCGATCTCCCCATTCTGCTTCTGTATTTTAACTGGCAGACCGCCCCCCACCATAAACACAAGGCAGCACTCGCAGCCATTGGCTGCAAGAGCTGATCTTATGCCGATCGGCTGCTGGTTTTCCAGCATGCTTGTTAGACAGAAGCTGGTTGTGAGATCAACTTCTGTCAGACAAGCAGCTGAACACGGGCTGAAAGTCAAATAGTTTTTACTGTAATGGCTGATTTCGAACGATATTCGGTCCATGTGTACGAGTTAGCTGCACCATCCCTAATTGATCAGTATTGGCTGCATTTTAATTAGTATTTCAGACTTCTCCACCATTTTTTCTTCATCTTTTAATTATTGTTACAGTTGTACAGTATGTGAGCATTAATTATTATTGGGACTAGTGTCCTCTTTCTAACAGTTGGCTTTTCCCTATTCCTCCCCCATTACCTGAGTTCCACAGTATTTTGTTTTTTGGTGCTAAATGGGAACAACAACTGCTGCCAATCAAAAATTAGAGATTTATAAAACTAAATTCCCCAAGTACAATAATATAATCTGACAGAGTTCTGGTGTTGTCCTGTTACCCAATCATACACACACTGCATCTAAGTGTAAAATGCTGAACACGATGTATAAACTGATACTCAGACAGCAATAGCATGCACATTGTCCACAAAATGGTGATATGAGCCAAATATAAACAGGAGGTGAGTCACTGATGTTACCAGCATTCATTGTGGGCAATGAGGTTTCTTGGTCCAGTTTCTTCTCAGGCTGACTATGGGTAGTATACTTGCTACTACATGTGTGTGCTTCTTTGTGTGCTTTTCATGCATGCATTTCCATACAATCTGTGCAGGCAGTCTCAGGGTTGCACCACTGTTCTCTTGCCAAGGTGGTGCAGCATGCTGAGAACTTCACATCAATACAACTAAACACTGCTGTGTAATGGGCTAGCACCAATCTCCATTTCTCTTGTAGGATGCAGTATAACTGGGAAGTCTAAGAATTCTTGTATGTCATGGTGTACAAGATAACATCCGGTTGCCTGGCTTTATTTAATTGGAATAGTTTCTGAGTCACTGAGCCCAACCAAATATGGAGCCAGTGAGGTCAGAGCAAAGTCAGGATCCGCTACCTTTACATACCTAGTTAGTCCAGATATTGGCAGCCTACATACTTCTATCAGATGGTTGTTGAGTCTGTAACAACACACAAGTGTTCAGATTGTAAGGCTATTTATTTATTGTTGTGCTTTACAACAGAATCACCCAAAATCAGATTACCACGGCAGCTGAGGCAGACATTTATTAGGAGAGTGGGAGAGCAAGTCAACCTAGTTATTCCCTTTCAGGTAAGATGAAAATGTGCTTGTGTGTATATACAGTATATAGCTATTTAAAAACAATTTAATTTAAATGTCAAAAGAGAGACTATCCTACAAACTTTATAGAATTCCTAATATTCTGCTTTCTCAACCCTTTTATAACAGGGGAAACCAAGACCAAAGGTTACATGGACTAAGGATGGCGAACAATTAGATCCAAAACAAGTCAGCATCAGAAATTCAGAATCAGACACCATTTTGTTTATAAGATCCTCTGAACGGCCTCATTCAGGAAAATATGATCTATCGGTTCAGATCGAAAATATGGTAGACACAGCATCAGTTAACATTCGTATTGTGGGTAAGTTGTAAAAACATATAAAAAATACTGGGTTTGATTTATCAAGGGATTGATAAATCTTGTTTGAAAGTCAGGTTTCACCCTGAACTTAAAGGAGAAGTACAGCCAAAGCTCTTTTGGCTGTACTTCTCCTGTGGATAACAGGAGTGCAGTTCATTCTTCATTCCTGAGACCCATTTTCAGCTGACAGAAGGCTGAAGCCCACTGTTGGCTGACATCACTCAGCCGGTCCAGACTGGGAAAAGATCCCGACTTTAAAGGGGATCCACCCCAGAGTCTGGAGTAGCACCTGGCTCAGCCTCTCAGTGAACCGCTGAGAGCCTGAGCCAGCCACTTCCTCCCCCTCCACAGCTCAGTGCTCCAATGAGTGCTGGGGGGCAGAGCAAACATTGGTGACTGATAGTCACCACTCCCTGCTCAGAGAACTCAGCAATCAGCGGTGATATAATCACACTTAGAGCCAGTGGGGGACAGATAGGTAAGTATAACTGGGGAAAAAAAGAAAGCTCGTACTTCTCCTTTAATTCCACTGAAGCCTATGGGCGGAGGGGGGGATAATGTAAAATGTTGTCCATTTTATGAGCTAAAAGGCAAACCACTGTCATTTTGCAAAAGGCATGGGACATTGGGCAGTGCTATGGGGGACATGCACCAATGCAAACGTAAAAAATAAACAAAAAAAAAAACATATTGTGAGAAAAGATTATACCAATGTGGCTTCAAGGTCCATATTGAAAATATACAAACACTTTAAATAACATGCTTGCAGAATGCCTTAAAGGTGGCATTATGGAATATTAAAGTATTTGCCTCAAACAGGTGTTCATTCACCTTCAAATTTTCCACATTTTGTCCTGTCACAACCAAAACTGTAAATGTATTTTATTGGGATTTTATGTGATAGACCAGTACACAGTAGCACATAATTGTGAAATGGAAGGAAAATGACAAATGGTTTTCAATTTTTTTTAAAAATCTCTGAAAAGTGTTGCGTGCATTTGTATTCAGCCCTCTTTACTGTGATACCCCTAACTAAAATCTAGTGGAACCAATTCCCTTCAGAAGTCACCTAATTAGTAAATAGAGTCCACCTGTGTGTAATTTAATCTCAGTATAAGTACAGCTGTTCTGTGAAGCCCTCAGAGGCTTGTTAGAGAACATTAGTGAACAAACAGCATCATGAAGGCCAAGGAACACACAAACAGACAGGTCAGAAATAAAGTTGTGGAGAAGTTTAAAGCAGAGTTAGTTATAAACAAATATGCCAAGCTTTGAATATCTCACAGAGCACTGCTCAATCCCTCATCCATAAATGCATAGAGTATGGCTGCTGGCCAATTTATTTTAAGCTTTCCTTAGGAACTCAGAGACCACAGATGTACAATTGGCCAGCAATAATAGGTAAAATTTATTAGACATAGGTAGGCTTTTTACTACAAGAATTAGGATACTGCAGAGGTCACCACAGTGTAGAAATTGACCAGCAGCAGGACAGTTTTAATTAGGCATAATAGACCTAACTGGTGTATATCTATTGATAGGTATGGTGAATGTAAGTGATAATATGAGATGGTTTAGATGCACTTGGTTCTTGCACCTATTATTGTTTTCATTTCAAGCGTAGCAGCGGTGTGCTGCGAACAAATGGCTGCTTCAAGAGCAGATGGTCAGTAACAAAGGAAATGCCCCGCTCTGAGCACCCCAAAATAAACAAAGGTCCTACCAACATAAAGTAAAAATAAAAATCCATAGAAGAAACAACTACCCCAAAGTACCAACCCAAAAACAAAAGCCCATTAAAGAAACAAAAGCAGTTTAACTAAAAATAAAAACCTATGGATGGGGCAGCAACTAAAAGTGCTGCTGCCAGTACTTTTGTTGCTTTTTCTTTGTTTTATGTTTAGGGCTTTGGAAAATAAATATTTATTTTTTGTTTGGTCAGGTAATATACCAGCAGATGGAGCTCTATAGTCTCTACCAGGGGTGTCAAACTGACGGCCCTCCAGCTGTTGCGAAACTAGAAGTTCCATCATGGCTCTATTTTTGGGAGTCATGCTTGTAACTGTCACTCTTGCAATGCCTCATGGGACTTGTAGTTTGGCAACAGCTGGAGGGCCGCCAATTTGACACTTGGGGTCTATACTAAACCAAGAGAAGGTACACCCCTATTCACTCTGCGTGCTCATATGGGGATTTATGGCCTTTGAACAATACAGTATACAGTATGTTTTATATATTCATCTAAATTCCTATTTAGTGTTGGTGTTTTTAATATTTTGCCCCTCTCCCTACCCACCGTTGTTCAATATTTTATAATTATTCACTGAAATGTTACGATATGTTGCAGAGGAACCTCAGTTAAAAAAATAAAAATAAGCAGCTACAAATACTGTAGCTACTGACTTTTAATATAAAAAGACACTTACCAGCCCAAAGATACAGCTCTGTCTTCACCTGGGCTAGTTCTTCACCAGTGATCAGGTCCCCAGCGCTGCCATATTGACTGTGGTAAGCCGGTTGTGACTCTCTGTGGCTTCATAGCTGCCTCCCCACTGCACATGCACAAGCCACCTTGTGCTCTGTGAATGGTCCCGCAGCCTTCTGAGACCTATGACTTGTCTCTAGAGGCTGTGAACCATGAGAGGGGGGCTGAATTTCAAAACTAGATACCTGCTCCTTATAAAAAAAAACTCCAATAGCAGTAGAGGAGGGAGGGAAAGGGAGAAAAGGCAGAACTTCCTTTAGTAAGTGAAGTTCTGCTTTAAGCTGTCCATAGAAGGATCCTTCATCCACATAAATAAGGAGGTTGTTGGAATCTCCCTCGCTGGAACATTGCATTCTGAGAGCTGGACCTACAAATGTCAGAATACACTGATCAGCAGCTGCTGTTCAACAAAAGATTTCCAGAATGTCCCTTCAACAGTCGATCTGATCTAAATGAGCTAGCTCTTGTCTATTTCCCAAATACTCCAAAATCTGTACTTTTATACATTTTATATTTGGTCAGTTAGAAATGATCAGTTCTAACAATGCTATCTCTGCTAGTTTATCTATCTGTTACATACAGTACATGATATTACTATTTAGCAATGTGAATGTATGAGTGCATTCTTTACTAGAGAATCGGTATTCCACGTTTGGAATTGAATTTTAAACCTTTTGTGTTACTCCTGCCATATTTTCTATATCGTATTTCAGTGATGTTTCAGAGCTTCCTTTTGTGGAAATCAGATAATAAAATCAGCGCAGCTGATGAATATATGCTATGGAAATTTGAAATACAAAACAAGGCAAGTGGATAGTTTATTGCCCCCAGTATGTGTTTCCTAAAGAGGTTTTCTTCAATGACATTGACTTTTAGTTGGGTACTGCTGAAAAAGCCTTACATTGACTTTACATTGACACAGGCAGACCAAGGCACACTCATTGTGCTGCACTTCTATATGAAAAGCACAGCATAAATGTAAAAAAAATATTGATGCTGCCATCTACATTTATAATTAAATGAGATACAGTATTGTCATAACCAATTTGGATGAACTTGTGTTTTTTTTTAAATTATGTAACTATTCAGTATATATAAGCTGGTGTTTTAAAAACTTTGTACATAAGACAGTATGTACAAAGTTTTTAAAACACCAGCTTATATATACTGAATAGTTACATAATTTTAAAAAAACACAAGTCCATCCAAATTGGTTGGCTTAATTTAAATAATCACATTCACTTATTATAGCTACAAATAATAAAATATGGGTTAGGACATTTGCCTTTAAAGTACAGTCTACTTAGTTCTTTATTGCATTCTGTATCGCCGGTTAGTCAAAGTAGTTTAAATAAATTCTATTGAAAAAAAGTCAGTTATAGAGTTACCAAATATATTTCACAGTCTTAATGTATGTAGACTGTCTGACTAACATTGCTCACGTCTGTCTTCATATTGCTGACTGATGCAAGCGCAACATTTAAAGTTCATGAGGGCGGAATATCTGCAAAGATCAGGTTCCCTTATCTGATCTATATATATCTAATCCTAGAGGATAATATCCAGTTATGGCTGCTAAACCAAGCTCCTGGAAGCTACAAAATGTGAAAGGAGGTTTATTTTAATACATCCACATTCTGATTTTAAATTGCATAGGCCTAGAAAAAGGAAAGTGATACTGTTTATCTGAGTTAAACATTGCTGTTTTCTATTCTGCTTTGCTATATTATTGGTTTATGTGTATGTAGCAGAACTAAGCTTCTAATAGCAAATTATTAATAATCTTTATGTCACAACTAAAAGGATTGCCGCATTATTTGATATTCACAGTGCAGGGTATTATAATACCTCTATACTACAATGGGTATAATATATATTTAACTGTATATCTCTCATATCTTGAAATATTGGCTGCAGGGTGCAGATGTCAGAGCAATACTTTCTTTGTCTTAAACTGCAAGAACATTTCAGAGGACATTTCTCCCTTTTTCCTTAGATTTCACATCAGCATGCAACTCTGCATGCTGATATGTACTCACCTAACATTCTTGTTTAATGTTTTTCTGCTTTACTTTTTTTCTACTTGCACTTTCTGGTTTCCCTGAAGGCAGTGGTGACATAACCCCTGCCTCACAGATGCACCCCGGAAAGTCAATGTCATCATTGCCATCAGGCAAATGCCAATCGTAAGCTGCGAGATCACGTGAGATCTCGCAGTATTTTCATACTGCACATAAGCATGATGAAGAGCATGAAGTCATTCACTTCACTTCATCTTGGAATTACATTCATTTGCTGAGGAAAAAAAAGAGAAAAGCATCTCCCCAAAATCTCGCATGATTTTGGGGATGTTTTTTTTTCCCAGACATTTTCAAAATGGTGGTGTGGGAGTATGGACCCACACAGCACAGAGACAGTACAAAAATAGGTAAGTATGATTGTTTATATCCTCCTCCATATTCAGGTATGTAGGTTGAATGAGTAGGGATGGGGGAAAGTCCTCTTTAATGTGGCT